TTTTTCAACATATGTTTCATCAGTTTCCTTCCTTCTTTAATTTCTTTTTTTTTTCCATCATCAATTCATCATACTTTTCTTTTCGACAATTATGCCAAAACTTCAACCGATAATTTTTTTTGCCTCGTGGAAAGGAACCTTTACACTAATTTCAAGGATATGATACGTTAATATTTCGATTTCTATGAATTCTTCAGGTAATCATTTATCGATTACATTTCGAAACAGCTTCATTTAGTCTCAGGTAAAAAGTAATATTAACGTTATATTGGAGTGATCGTAATAAATCGACCGTCATTAGGATATTGAAAGGTAAAGATGTTCTTTGAGTTTTATTCGTGAACTTTTGGTGGTACCTTAACCACTTGAGCTATGTTCGATTTGGCTAATATACTTGTGTATATACTCGTAACGAACATAAATCATATATGATACAATGTATATTAGTAATAGAGGTATGTTCTACCTATGCAAAAATTAGGAGAATATTTGCTACAACTCCTATTAATTATTTTATAAGATTAAATTATATTCTTTGTTCCTATATCTTTTAACTTTAAGCCCGTTGAAACTTACTAATGTTACTAATGAAAGTTGAGTGAATTGATAAAAATTATCATTTTATTTCTTTTTAAGAAGATGATTATAACTATTTTGTAGATTCTAATGTTTTAAAAATAAAATTGAAATATTATAGAATCATAATTTTAATTTAGACTATCATGATCGTGACTCGACAAGATATTACTCGTTAAGTATAAATCCCAAAATTATACAGGTGACAACGATACAAAAAAAAATTAGGAAAAATAAATCGAAGAAAAAAATAATGGTACAAAAGACACTCAATTCATTTTATTCACATCCAAAACTACTTAATAACAATCATTTTTTTTAGAAATACTTAAAAACAATCATTGTAACAATGTAATAAAGTTTTTAAATAAAATACTTTATTATAAACATTAAATGAATCGTACTACCAACAATATGGTAAAATACTTTTATAAAGTATTTTTAAAACTTCTTGCAAACCAATAACATCTTTTAGAGTAATGATGTCCAAAGAACCTCATATATAAAAGAAAGTCTAAGAAGATCGAATTATCGATTTTGTTACGATAATATAGATGTCTTATCTACTCGATTTTTGTAACGATAATATAGATATCTTATCTACTCGGTTAGTAGATTGCATACCACTAAAGGAGCACTGAAAATAGAAATAAAAAAAGATTACCTCAGGTAAATTAGTTTTCATGAATATCCGCAATGAAAAACGAGATATTACAAGAAATATTTTGAACCAATTTGGCCTGCTGCTACCAAGTAAAAACCKAAAGCCTGCTTTCAATTTTCCACTACTTAAAAACACACGATCATTTCATAAACCTATCAAGCTATAAAAGTAATATTGACATTTGAAATACAAAAATACACATGGAAAATAGGATGTGAAGAAAACTTGGAATTCCTTTCCTTGCTCAATTCCGGGCTTTCAGCTGACTGATTATTCGTCTCTCATGTACGCAGTAAAGTCAAGAACTGCCAGTACGAGTTGCAACTCTCGTGGTCGTCTGACCAATTCCAAGTCATCCACATCGCATAAAATGCATTTATCTCGAGTTGTTAGATGAACAAGAACGGCCGTTATCTCTTGGAAAGCCTTGTTCTTCGAGTACCTCTTATGGCACCTCGGTTACGTACCACACTTGGAGCTCTCTCAAGACTTGCCTCCTCATCGCTTGCTTCATCAGTCCTCCATCTTGGGGCACTATTTGGGTATCTAACGTCAGCTGCAGAATCTTGTCCTCCATGGCTGAATTTTTTTGGGAAGAAAAATCAGTAAAATTATAAGAAAGATGGAAAGAAAATGCCACTGATGTTCCTTACCTTGAAGTGTCCATTGGGTCATCTAAAGAAGAGATGTTCCAAGTTCCATTATCTCTAGCAGATACTGCAGTTTTACTCGACCCATTTTCCTGCACTCCCCTTGAAGGAACGTCTAATAAACCGAACTTGCTGCTGGGTGTATATATAGGGTTAGCGGTAATCCTGCGGGAATATGGAGAGGTATTTCGAACTTGGTTAGCAATTCCATTTTGCTCTTTATCCAGTGAGAGTTTCTCGGCATCATTGTGACTATTTGGGATGAACCTGGATGAACTTCTCGTGGCTTCTTCTGAGGGTGAAATATTCATAGCACTTGCTTGATGGAATCCAGAACTAAACATATCCTGAAAATTGACACTCTTGTGTAAGCTATTTTGTGCCTTTGGTACTCTTTCCATACTAGCAAACAGCCTCTCGTGAACTGATGGTGAGCCATAGGTGGCGATTTTGGAATGGTTGAACACCCCCCCGCCTAGTTTTCCTGAAGTTTCAAAAACTGGTGGTTTGAAGATAAATTTGCTGTCGTTTCTCAGTGATATAGTGGAGGTATTAGTTGAGGGGATCAATATACTGCTCAAGTTCTGCTCTTGGACCGCATATGGATCRGCATTTGGTGACACTTCCACATCTTCTGAATTAACACCAATATTAGGAGACTTTCCGGATTTTATTTCCAGCTGTTGGATTTCTGGTAGCAACTCCATGAATTTATCCTGTACATTTGAGGCAATAAAATAAAATAAAATAATTATACATAATGAAATAACAAGGACGAACATGAGTCATAAACCCAGAAAGCACCCTAATAAAAACATTTATGAAGGACCAAAAATCCACATATTCTGATTTTGCAATTAAATCTAATATTGTTTAGGTCATGAGGCTAAAAATAATATTTTAGAATTAGTGTACCAAATGACTTCAATAAAATACTTCTGCCTTTGTTGGTTGCATGTGCTACATGTCGAAGTGCAACAAGAATTAGAAACCCATTGCAACCCTCCTGCCATGCAGATTACGTGTAAAAGTGTCTTTATCAAAGAACAAGGTCTCAAGTTTCAACCCTTAGCAAACAACACCCAGAAAAAGAAAAAATGGTTCAGACAACTTACAACCAATCCTGCCCGCCAGTGACTTGTCGATCTCATCCTGGATAAAACATCTTCACCAACAGAATTCTCAGAAATATAGCCTTGCTCTGCTTTCTGAAGCAATAGGTTCACTTGGTAGGCCTCATGATATCGAAACCTCTGAAAGAATATACAGAAAGTCCTCACGAGTCATGACAGACAATATCCTTTTGTAGAATACATCTAAAAATGATAATTTAGCATGCACGCTTAGTCCAAAATATGCTAGAAATAACAGAGATTTACTAGAACAAAAGGTTTATAATGTAGGTATAGCTCTAAAATAAGTCAAATATAGATACAAAAATGTAAGACTATGAAGGCTCTTTTCAACGGGGTGTTTTACTTTTATTGTAAAATAAAATTTCCTACCAAAAAGATGTAAATTAAACAGTTATGGGAAGATAATCTTTAAGGAAAGACAGAGACTCTTTAGAGTTACACGAATAAAGCAATCTCTACAGCCCTTTAGTTGGAAAGAAACTGCTGAACGTACAGTGGTAGGAAAGAAGTTTGGCGAGGTTTCATTATTCTTCTTGGTGTTCTTTTTCTAGTTCCTCATATCCCTTTTGTAATTATTCTCCCTTTATAATTGATTCTAAGGAGGTGACTTCTTTTGAAGTCCTAATAGGGGAGTATAGATATTACCTGAAGATAGTACACAAAGAGGAGACTTCCAATAGTTGTTGATGGCTGAGCAGTGGACCACTCCAGCAAGCACTTGTGGAGATGCTTTTCCTCGCCAGAATTCCATGGTAGCTCAATCATTCTATCCACAAAGTTTCGACGGATACAAAGATAACAAATTTCAGTCACCAATATTTTCACCCAGTCTTCCCAGCTTCTAAATTTTCTTTGAGCATTATCAAGTGCATCCTCATGTTCTTCATACTTTTTCCTATCCCTTACCCTATTGCAGAGCATTTTCTGGTACATAAATGCTTCAGTCAGAAGTCCACACTCCACTCTCACCCGGACACCAGTTACAGCTTCAACAAGTGAAACTGGGGCTGACATGCTGTCACGTCCTGACCACCTCAAAACCATAAGAGCTGTATCAGGATTCTTTCGTTCTAACAAAACTTGTGCAATCTTAGGATGGGTTGCTGGGCCTGAGATCTCTGGAAGAAGACCGCGGGCTTCCTGCATGATATTGTGTTGCAAGAAAAATGTTAAAAGTCAACAGGTAGAAAAGACACAACCATACGCTGCAGAAAACATAAGAAATTGGCATTCCGTAAATCTGAACTATAACAAGTCCACAAGAATTACTAGAGTATACTATTGGTGGAAATTTATAGGACTAGTTGGCTCTGGAATCTTTTGGAGAGGGATGATATTATTTCATCCATCCTTCGCTTAAATAATAGAGTATACATGCTGGTTTAACTATAATATCCAGGTCCACACAAGTATGGTGATCTACGAATGATCAATTTCATTATCAAAGTCATACTGAATAACTTGAAGTTTTAAGACTAGTAATAATCCAGCAGCATTGAACTAGAAACTACTGTAAGACAGTTTCTAAATCAATCATCAATCTCTGGATCAAACATAGATCTTGTGGAAATAAAGAAGTTAAACAGCACTGCACCAGAATCTTTGACTATTTGAATAAGTAATTCAAAACTAACAATAAATTATATTATAATGAAGACAAGCGGATGACAGATTACAACATAAGTTACCTGCAGAGCTTCATCTGTATGGTCATCTAGAAGATAAAAGACATAAGACTCTAATATGGAATGCCGTGTTATACTGAAAGAGGCAGCAAAGTCCTCCACAATATGTCTCCATTTCTCATCAGGCATCGTCCAGTGACGATCAAACAAGTAATACAAAAGCTTCCATGGATTAAGGGRAAAAAAACGAGAAATATATTTAGCGAATTTTATAATATATGGATGGACATGAAATAAAGATATGATAAGAGAAGGATACAATTGCTTTCTTTGCAACCACTACATCAGAACTCCCACGAAGAAAGAGAACGTCAACAGCAACCCGAAGATTTTCAAATGGGTAACATCCTGAACTCCCACCAATCTTAGATCTGAAGATTATTGGCGCCCCATCATTTTCCAAAGATCTAATTTCTAAACCATCCACTAAGTCTAAGGAATGCCATTGCTCTATATCAAGATTCCCCAGTGCATCCTCGATGAACAAGGATCCATCCAATCCACTGGAATCAGCAGAGTCATCTAAAGCATCAGGCCATGATCGCCTGATAGCAGCAGATTTCCTTTCACGAACAGCAGTAAGCCAAGATGTGAAGCTAGAGTGGCGGGACCTAACATTCTCCAAAAATTGATGTCTTATGCACCACATCATAATCTCCATATGCTGGTAAAATAAATTGTAATCAGAAAGTATTTTATCATGAAGACTATCCAGGGAAAAGGAACAGTAATTACAGCAGACGGTTCAAAGACTCTAATCTCCCACCTTCTTGCTAACCCTTCTAAAGAAAATATAGATCTACAATAATTGTATCGCAATTCACAGCTACATTTGCTATATCAAAGTAAAACATTCAACTTCGTGCACCAGAGAGCTAAAGAGAAAATAATCAAATTTTATCTCCATGATTTGTTTTCTGAACTTACAAAATTTATGGAAAAAGAATTTCTCATCTAATGAATATAATTTCTAATCACTGTAGACTATTGATTACCATATTTACTCATCTAATGATTATAGTTACAAGTTTGTTCGTAAATATGCCAGATTCTTTGCAAGCCAAGCCTAAGTTTGATAGAAACCAGCTATCTAGTAAATGAAGGGTGATAAAAAGATAATCACCAACATGTGAAATATTCTGGATAAATTATCATTACCAGCATCTAACCAGTAATATTGCTTTTCCTTTCTCCACTAAAGAATGTGAACTTTAATTTACCCCTATGTGAATGGAAATTATTGAATACAAAGTTGGGTGGTATTAACTTTTTTTTTTTTTTGGTGTAAGAAACAATTGAATGAAATTACAAAAGTGGGACCATGATAGGGGTTGGTATTAACTTTTAACCAAGGAGAGAAAGGATAAAGAAACTTCGGTAAAATTATCCTTGCTTTTCTCAAGTGTGAGAACATCTTAGCATATCCATTGAGTTAGCATGTTTCTATTCAATATTCAACTGATCAGAAAGCACATCCATTAATTAACTGAACCACATTAGGAATCATTGCCATCAACTATTAGCTAAAGTGGCATGTCAAAGAATTGGAGGCCAAAGCATATTTCACCTAAAGAAAGCCAAGAGACTACGGAATAGCATTTATAAGTAGAAAGAGAGGAGCAGAAAAAGATGATGATTGATAACCAAATTAATTCCTAAGAAATTAAACCTGCTTGATCTTCAATATGCCCTCATGAAGATTGTGCAGGTCCTGAAGTTGTGCTGAATGAGAACTTCTAAATGATGAGTCCAGCACTTCGAGCACATTGGATATGCCCGCAAGCAGCACCGAAAGCTTAAGTAGTAGGTTCAACCTAGACCTCATTCCCTCTACACCAGAGTTATCTAAAATGAAATGAATATAATATCCATGTGAGTAAATAATTATTCAGTATGCATGCCACAAAGATACAAGGAATCAAAATTTTCAAGATTAAGCATACATATGTCTTGAAGTTCTGTAATAATGTTCCTGGATGCCCGCTTACACCAATCCTTGACAACTACTTCATCCAACAAAAATGCAATGACAGGGTCACTTGATACAGCACTCTCATCCAGACAAACATCTGTAACATCTGAGAACTTATTGTAAAGGAAATCATGAACTTTAAACATCATAATAATTGGTGTCAGCAGAATATGATGAGAATTCAAACACATGTTAACAAAGTAAGATTATAGGTGTAATGCTTAAAAAAGTCTTGCAACATTGTTAGATTGTTTAAGGCCTCCCATGCAAAAGATAATGAAGAGAGACACAGAAATAATAAATTTTCAGGGTAAGTTGAAAAGGCAACAATATCAGAGCTGGGGACATCTATGTGGAATGCTGGCAGAGTAATCAAACTGCTAAGGATACAGTGACAGATTAGAGAAACTAAGTTATTTTCCAGCGCAACATCAAATAAGGAATACAAGCGTTGAACATCAGTAGTTAGTCTATGCTCCCCATCTTCCTCCTCATGAGGTTTCTCCTTAGAATTCTTGGGAATGAGCCCAGCTTCAACACACTCATAAAAAAGACGTAGATGCGTTCTAGCACTGCTTTTTGGAACTGGAACTCTACATATTGGACAAAAATCACACCGTTGGCAACATTCTTCACACAGAGAGGCATGTCCACATGAATTCAACACATACTGAACATCCCGCCCACAGCTTCTCAAGTCTCTCGTRGCTCGACAATGCTCAACTTTTGCTTCATTGCATAACTCGATCAGATCAATAGATGCCAAATGTTTCAGAGCTTCCTAAAATTAGAAATATAAGCAAAACAATTAGGAGGGGAAAAATCAGTTCACCACCTAATATAATCAAATCCATTTTCATTTTTACCTAACGTATAAACTAACTGATAAGATAGGTATCGTTTTAGAATAATGAAGTAAATACAATTACATGTATAGAATCTACAAACTCGAGGGTACGAAATAATGTCAATAATTTTGAATTAACGAAACAACCCCTACAACTATTCGAGTACATAACTTGAGAAGCATAACCAGAAGTTGCACCATACTTTATAGCAGCAACTCTAGAGTTCGAAAATGCCGCCATAGTCCCGGAAAGAAAAATCAAAGCACGAACAAACGATAATTCTCAAGTGTGCTAACTAAAATAGCTAGGGTTTCACTATCAAGCATTTTAAACGCATAACTAGTAAAAAGAAAAAACAAACGAGTACCTGCACTGCTGGATTACTGTAATCAGGTCGCAGAGAGAAAAAATTGGATGCTGAAGCAGCCCTGCCATTGGTGGAGGTCGAAGGAGTAGCGTGACCGTCGATTTGCCTGTCCATTGGCCGGGATAAGAAGCGAGCAATTTCTCCAAAGGTTGAGGATGAAGAATGAGAGTGAAGAAGTTGAAGCTATGGCTTGGCGCTGGACGAAGCCATTACAGAGGTCTGGAGGTTTTGAAGCTCCCAAGTTCCATTTACACACAGAAAAATTGGAGGGCTTTTCTTGGGAAGAAGAGAAAATAATTGAAAATTTTGTTCAGGCGGCCGTTTTCCGCTCTTCGGTTTCGTGGAAGGAAATTTGTCGAACGAAAATTGGGAATGGGCCGGGTTCTAACCGGATCGCGTTTTGGGCTTGATCGATTTGTGGATTTCGGCCCAATACTACTGCCAGTTCACTAACATTAAAATTCTTATTATAAAAAAGAAATAATTTTTTGGAATTGGTTGATAAAATAGTGGATCCAACCATCAACCTTTGAAATACTAATGAATACTTTATTTATTAAGCTGTGATCGATATAAATACTTACATGTAAGATTTTCGGGATATATATATTAACCGACATAAGTCAACTAGTCTCTTTGTAAAAAAAAAAAATAGTAAAAGAATTCATAATTTAAAATGTTTTGAATTTTAACCCAAACGTCTAAATAGGTGACCTACAATAAACAAGATTACCTAATTTTAACATAAAATAACACACCAAATGTAAAACTCAACTCTTTTAACATGTTGTGCATGTAGTTCATACAATTTAGATGACTTGACATAGTCCTATTATTGTATGTACATTAGTCCTATTAAATAGACATGCTTTTTTAATGTCAATGATAATTATTAAAATCACAAAATTATGACATATGTATAATTTACATAATTATAATATCTGTAACATGCAAATTTATCTATAAACATAATTAGGCTATGAGTTCTTTCTTTTTTAGAATATTACGTCATAAATATGGAAGCGAGAATTTGAACCCACGAATTTTTAGAAGAAATAAGATCGTTTTAAATGTTATCAATACTCAAATTTGGATTATTAATTTGTCTAAGAGAAATTAAAACTACAATTCCTCCTGGTTGGAGATTTTTTTTCCCTTTTTTTTTGAGAAAAAGATAAAATTTCATTAAAAGACAAAAATCACTTTGGCTATATTTGAACTCAGACAAACATTCGAGGGATTAAAAAGGCATTGAGAAGAGATTAAAGACAACAAAATAGAGAAGTGAGATGAAATCGCATCTTTTGATAAACAATCTTACAAAGAATTAAGACCCTCTTTAACGTGCACAACAACTCACTTCCTTCAAACATTCTTTGAACCAAGTCTTTTCCTTTTTCAAAATAAGATGAATCGCTTCTAGACAATCTGATYCATAGGTTACTCTGGTGAGATGATCTGGAATTTGAATGAGAAGAAAGCCTTCATTTATTGTTGTCGAGCGTTTTCTCKCACTAGTGCATCAAAACCCGACCTCTTACTTGCTTTCAAAATAGCATAACTGATTCGGAATCTGTTGCACTATCCAAAACAACTTGAAATATTTTTGACAGATAAAAAGAAAAAGAAAAATATTGTCTTTTGGGATATGATTGGTGTGTGTTAATAAAATAATCCGACATTTATTGAAGAATTCCAACATTGAATGAAGGGTCCGCCCCCTCCCGCGTTGAGGAAGGAGGCGTGATGATGGGGACAGTCAACCGTCAACCCTAAACAACAATTGAAATCAAACTATAATTTAAGGGYTTTTTAGAAACATACATGTAGTGGGGTGGGATTTGAGTCCTTAGCTAATTAAGTTTTACCTAACATGTATTTAAAAGTTTTAACTTAGATTTCGGGTTGGTTAGCTTATACGTGTCGTATTAATACAAAAACTAGGTAAATTTAGCTCGTCTTAATCCATACCTTCCGTATTCATCTTTCAATAACAATTAGGAGTGTTTCTGCRACAAAATTCGATAAGATCAAACCTGATAAAGATATCATCGATGGAATAGTTTGAATGTCAAAATGTGGAATGACCTRCATAAGAGAGGCAAACACTCCGACACGCAAGTCAATTTTAACTCTAACTTAATAAGAAGCTAGCTATTTGAGATATAGAATTTGAAACCTGATRTAGAGGTGAGGCTCTCTATTTATAGGTTAGGGATCCGACAGACTGTTACTTGTGTCGCTCCGAAGGTTGGATATGTAATTGGGCGCCTAATGTCGAACCCAGGTGATAGCCGCACGATTGGAAGGTGTCTCTGAAGTGTTGTTATGGCTAGATATGGTAGGTTGAACCTGTCTGAGACAAGGCTCATGTAAGATGTGATTSGTTTGGACCTTCCTCTGTCTCCCACGTTGCAAGGTAACGTTGTTAGAAAAAAATATTATTTATTTATACAAACTCTTAAATCTAAGACAAATGGGGTAATTGCTTTTCCCTAACTTGTATACTACTTAAAAATTGTACGAATTACAAACCCTCAAATAGATTACAGTTTACACATACTGAAATTATATACATTTGTATAATATAAGAATAAGATACATAAATTTAGAGACTTTTCAATCACATAAGACATAAATACTAAACTTATTAAACTGTRGGTGAGTCAGCATTAATTTCTCCATTGGTAATCTTTTGACTAAAAAAAGGATTTTGAGGATCGATATATATGCTACTACCAAACTCATAGTACGATTGGTTGAGAAACATATTTTCAATCAAAAAGTTGTGGGTTATTTATTGGTTTAAATATTATTTTGATTTATGTACTTTTTAGTAATTGTTCTTCATTTYACTTCATGTAATTTCAAAATGTATATTTTAGTCTTTATATTAATACATTTTGCCCAATTTAGTTCCTACATTTTTCAAGTGTCRTATTTAGTTATTGTTCTTATAAAAAGTGAGCATTTTTATCCCTTTATTTATTTTATCTCGTTTTTTTTCAATCACAATTCAAGTACGACATTATGTTCATTAAAGTTTTTGAAATATAGTTATAACTTTGTATTAAAGAGGTTTCATTGTGTTTCATGTAAAAAAATCACCAATACAGATTAAAGTTGYCACTTTTTAAAATTGTACACGAACTAATAAATGTTTCTCAAAGTACAAGGATTGAAGTTGCCAAAAGTTGAAAGTCAAAATTAAAATAGACATTTAAAAAATATAGGGTTTAAAATGAACTCGTCTAAAAATATACGGACCAAAATAGTATTTTCAACCACATTTTTATTAGAAATAAAGTGCTAAACCAATCTTGAATGTCGAAATATCAATCAACAAATTGAAAATTAAATTTTTTACGATATGAAGAAGGGTAAAACAATTTATTTATTTCATCAAATTGACGATAATACCATCGATCCAAATCGTGTTTTACAAAATGTACACCCAACGACTACGTAAAGATATAAATTATTCACATATCCAGTGAAATTTATGTTAATACTGTTAATGAAAAAGGTTAAATTGATCTAATAATTAATTAAGGTTCGGACTTAAAATTTGAAGCTCCAATGTTATAATAATATCGTTTCAAAAGTTTAAATTATTTTTATTAAATTCAATCTTCGACCTCTGAAAAATGTGCCTTGACTACCAAGTAAACTCAAATTGATATAAGCTAAAATCTCTACGAAAGAGATATTTGTCGACAGAATCTTACGTTGATGTGTTGCTCCACCAAAGTTTAAGTCATAACTAAATTCATGTTGGTATTGAGTCGAACTTGTGTATGAATGCAAGAGATTATATATTTTTTGGAATATGAGATTATGTCTTTTTATACGAAAAGTATTGGAAATCGTGATTCTACCATCGTGGCGGCCATTTTGTCATTCTACAAATGTTATGTTCTGTACTATAATATCATCTAACGATATAACCATCATTTAGTCAAGTATAGCAAATTTATCGTCACTTAAAATCTTCCTCGAGAAGTCAAACCCAAGCTAAATTCAAGATACAAGCACATAAGCCCTTCCTCCTGATTCTTAGTTTGTCCGAGTTAATAGGTTCGAACACACGCGCCATGATGGGAAACGACCCCATTCACACTTTAATCTTTTATTTTTCTTTTGAAAAGACACGTTAAAAATAAAACTAACACAATATTTAAGGTGAACAAAGCAAACAAACAATAGAAGTCAACAATTATGAGGTACTATAATAAATTAAGGAGTACCTAACTCGTGCACCGTCAAGGTCGTACCATACCACGTACCAGTCAACATATTTACATTGTGCGATATATATTTTAAATGGTCAAAAAAGTCCCTGCTTCTCTTGCCTTTAATTTTTCTTATATTTAATTACGTGGTTTTTTCTCCCTAGCTTATTAAACTTCCAGAATTTTCAAAGTTTTTTTTTTTGATTAATTTGTTTAAGCGGCTAGACTTGGAATGTCGTAGATTTTTAATATACGTTGTATGTTTGACTCCTTGTCTAAATTTTTTGTTTTTGTTTTTTTAGTACAACATTTGGACGCGGGAAATCGAATTCACGATCTCTTAGTTTGAGAATTACGGCGAAACTATGCTCGTTTTGGCAAAAACTCGATTTTTTTATTGAACTTTTATCGATTTTTTTTATTATTTACCCTAAAAAGTTTAAATACTAAAATTAAGGTGTCATGTATCGCGTTCTATATTAAGTACAAAATTTAATATTATTTTGAAGGTAGATAATATTGTTCTTTAATGTATATATTTTTTTTGGAGTATTATATTGTTCTTCAATTAGTACAATTGTTTGTTTACTTTTATGGGTAATCTAACATGTAAATTAAATCCCAATTAGAAACAAAGAAAAATAATGTAAATTAAACCATTTAAAAAAATTATGTAAATTAAATTGTCAATATAAATTTAAATGTAATGCCAACCAGAGCATAGCTCGGTGGGTTAAGACACATGTTGTTGAGTTTTATGCCCTTAACTCTTGAATAAGATAGGGTGTCTTATTCTGGTAACACTATGGATACGCTCCGTGTTGTATTAATTACAAACGACTCTATCAAAGTCGTTCATGTGGATACATGCGAGTGGGGGTATTCTATGCAATGAGTTTGTATAAAACCGGACTGTGAAATAAATTAATCTTTAGTTATAACACAAAGATTAATATTTCATAGGATGACCAGATAACTCGATCTTAATCCTGAGCGAGTTAAGGACTCCTGTCGATAAGGGATCGTCCTTTGATTTATATGGGTGAGAGTGGTTTTGGTTGCTGAATTCCTTTTTTGTTATT